GTTCGCGATGCTTTGGTCATGTTGACGCCTTATCGCGGCTGATTGCTAACAGATCAAATTCGCAGCCACATGAAGGCACTGTCATTTCATCATTTGCAATTGATGCTGTCATAAAATCGATCTTTGCGGAGTCCATACGATGCTTACCAGTTACGTACAATGACATTTGTGAGTCTACGCGATCATATAAGTGTTTACAATAAATCATCTTTCCGCAACGGTTGCCCAAGAATTCTATCAGACGCGGAAATTAAACCATATTTTGTGCGTAAAGATGCACTAACAATAGTGAACGACTGTTTACTGCTGGCAGGTCGCATTGTGATCCCTAAAAATCTCGGAGTAAAAGTGATTCAGATGCTTCACGCCGGACACCAAGGAATCACACGCCTGAAATCACTTGCCAGATGTTATGCTTTTGTCCAAATATTGATATGGATATTGAAGGCGTTGTTCGTAGTTGTTCCGAATGTGCACAGGCTGCGAAAGCTCCCATCAAAGTTGACCTTCATCTTTGGCCGAAATCAACTGTCCCCGGTATGCGGATTCATGTGGATTATACAGCCCACTGAACAATCAATATTTTCTTGTTATTGTTGATTCATACTCAAAGTGGCCAGAAATACTTTGTCACTCAACCAACGGCAGCTTCAACGATTGCGGTTCTTCGTCGTTAGTTCGCACAGTCTGGTACCCCAGCAACACTCATCACTGATAATGACCCACAATTCACACTGAACTAGTTCAACCGATTTTGTTAATCCATGGGTATACAACATGCACACAGTCCAATTTATCATCCCCAGTCCAATGCACAGACTGAAAGGTTTGTGTAAACATTAAAACGTGCTCTGTTTAAACAAAGGAGAAGGAGATGCCGCTACAAATGGATTTCTTCTTACGCATCTATCCTTCAACACGAAATCCTGTTCTTCCAAATCTACAATCACCGTCGGAACTTTTTATTGATCAACCTTTACGCATACCGTTAGATCCTATGTTTCCAGCATAGAAGACTAATGAGTGTGACCATAAAATGGCGGATCAATTCAATCATAAGCACGGTACTCGCATGCGATATGTTTATCTCGGTGCCCAAATCTTTGTGCACAACTTCAGGGATACACATAAACCTTAGATTCCAGGAATTATCAAGACAAGAAAAGGAAATATCTCATATGAAGTGGAATGTCAAAATCGATTGACTACAGGGCATGTGAATCAAACAAACAAGTTCAATAAAATGACCCTACAATGATTCGCTTACACATACTTCCAGGACTTCGTTTTTTAAAATATCCGATGTCGCGACTCCCACCATAAAGAACAACATATTAGATCTGATGTTTATCGTTTGTCTAATACCTGATTCCACTGATGTTCTGGAACACTTTTCTGGTAATAACCACACGATGGTCTCCATTTTATTCACAAATAACGCCCGACCCCTGAGAACGAATGTGCCCAAACCACAAATGCTCTCAAGACACTATGACTGGTTTGCTAAATTACTCAGGCATGCTCAGTTGGGTATTTTCTTCCTCGCGACCCGCAAGCTGCAGGTGATGCTCTATGTAACGATATCAACCACTGTCTCGAGGCTCTGGCTCATATCAAACATAGACAATATCCCTCAGGTCGCGAAAAGTCTGTTTCACGAAAACCGTTAAACTCAAAAAATTATTACTGCATACCGCAAAACGAATAACTTCTCATTCTTGATGCAACACCATGAATTGGTTATATTCCTGAAGCTGGCTCATCATGAAAAGCGGGCTCTCCACAGTCGAATCACAAACGGTGAACTGATCAATCTTGTAAATCTCAAACTTACCAAGCGTATCTAACGCACAATCTCACTCATAGCTCCAAATGACTGCACCATAGCAAATCCTGCCCAAACATTTCAGTGTTCAACTGCTAGTTTTGCTGTCCCTTCAACGTGGATTCCGAACCCCTATGCATTGTCTTGGCACTAGTCACTGTCGATTCGCTCAAGTGTATCAGATTTGAGCTTCACGGTATTCAGAAAGCTATCATCATCTTTCGAGGGTCCAAACAGTATTCCCTCGTAGTTCTGCAATTGGACAGGGCTTACAACCCTCTGCTCTTGCTGAGTGTATTTAATTTATCCATTGGCACCAGCACCTTAGCAGTTCAGTGGAAATAAGCTATAATTGTTCCACGACTTGGATCAGACTCACTTCTTGAGCATACAAATTATCGCCCCATAAGCCACACATCGATCTCATTAAGAATCATGGAGCGACCTATCAAAGCTAAAACTCTCGAATTCCTACTAACAAGAAAGCTAGTAGACAATTCTCAACGCGACGTTTTGAATAATCGGTCTTGCATTATGTGCCACCTGGAATTTCTAAACCATATAACTGCCTCGCATGATCTTGCTATGTCGGTTACCATAATTCGCCTCGACTTGCCCAAGGCGTTTGACTGAATACCTCATGCAAATCCGATAGCTAAATTGATGTCATACGCGATAGGTGAACCCGTGCTTTCTTCATTCAGGTCATACCCTTCAAATCGAACGCAGTTGGTTCAAATTCGAGAATACAAGTCTTAGCTTATGGTTGTCACCAGTGGTGTGATACAGGGAAGTGTCCTTAGGCCATTACTGTTCTTAATTCATGTTAACAACATTTTCGACGTAGTAAAATTCGGTACACCAAATCTGCTTATCGATGGCACCAAAATCATATGCACTTTCAGTCCGGAAGCTTCCACTGATGTTGTCAACCTGATCCAACGGGACATCCATCTACTTGGAAATTGGAGGATGTCTTTCTCTAGTGGCAAATGTGCAATGTTCCTCAAATGCTGTCTGACTCATAATGGCCTGACTCTTGATGACAAAGTACTTAATCTATGCCCTACGGCTAGATACCAAGGATTGCGACATTCATGCACACTTAACTTTCATGTGCAAGTCGGATATACCCGCGAGCGCAAGACATAAAATTGGTGTGATACTCAGGACTTTTTACCTTCATGAATCAATGCTTCATTATTACAAATCACTTGTTCGACCCACGTTGGAGTATTGTTTAGTGGTGTATTGTTGCTCAAGAAAGCGCGATCGCGTTACACTGGAACAAGTTCAGAGAGCATTCACAAATCACCTCCAAAACTTAAATATTTCGTACGATGTGATGAGCTCAGGCTTCACACGCTCTGGCTACGGCGCTTGAAGCGTAACCTAGTCATATTATTCAACATCTCGCACAGAAGTATACGGGTTTCCAACCTCAACATGACATGAATGCAATCAGCAGCCTACAACACACGAAACGAGCAGAACTCAGAGGCGGGACGCAAGTCCAAGACCACCAGGTCTGCGAACGTTTCCCACAACAGGTAGGCCAGAGACTGGAACATGCAACCACCCGAAATCCGTGCGTGAACTCTTGAACGTGCATTTCGGGAAAGCATCAGCAAGTTCATTACCGTACAGAACGTGATCACAGTAGCTTCATCCGTCTGCGATTGGCCGTAGAAGCACTCAACACGGTTTATTCTGAATAATCCGACCCAATTTCCCTGACCACCTTTGCACACCGTTGTTGCACAACCCTTGTTGATTTCGAAACTTATTGGAGTTTCATTTCTTACACTCTAAATTCGATAATGCTAACGATGTGTCGAGTTGGACAGGTATTTCAGCAGTACATTGACAACGAATCGTTTGCCCGTCACCTGACGATGCCCTAATCTTTGAACGATGCATCAGTTGTGCAACGCTACTGAAAAGGACAAGCGAAACAGTGAATTGACGGGTACATGACTGCGATGGCAACTGGTTTTATTCTATTGGGATACTTACGAGTTTTAAACCAGCTTACACGACCACATGCCGCCGGCGCAAATTGTGACTGCGAGCAGCTGCTCTCCTTTAGAACGGCTGTGAACATGTATGTTTACTCCTTGTTTACAAAATATTTCTTAGGTACATTTTCATGACTATGACGTAGGTGGTTGGATCCAAGTTGTTGATTTTTGGCTCTCCCCATTTGCGGCAACCCGTGACGAAAACAGCTAAGCGTTCATCGGCCACTGAGTCTAATGCTAAACCATGGTCATGGTTATTTTAATGATTGCCTAATTAGCCACTACAAGGACATTTCCATGTTTGGTTTTATTGCGTTTAACCGATCAGCAAGCGGCTTTTGATTTCATTTGGCTTTGTATTCGCTCTGCCAGAGAATCAGGTTTGCGTTAAATTACTTATGTCTTTGGTATCTGAAGAAATTCGGGCGCATTTTTGACAGGTTGGCGTTTGATGGCCACAGGTACTCATTTTTGGCACTTCGCTTGAAAAAGGTCGAACACGACATGCACCGCACCCTGTTCGTTACCTCAGCCAAAGATAGAGCACATCTGAGTTAGTTTGGTCGACTGACCTGAAAAAGCTCTTGTGTTAAGAGCGAGGCTTAGCCTTAACGCAAGCTTTTACAAAACCGATTTGTGTCTTAAATTCACCTGAAGCCGGAAATTCGTTTGGTTTACTTTTTTTTGGGCAATCCTACCCGAATTATATATTTTGCAGTGTTGTTGCGCCTGTAACATTAAATTTAACTGTCATTTAATCTCACGATATTCTAGTTTCCATCATGACTCCCGAGTCATTTGTGATCACCGTTGACTCCAGTTTACCTTCCGATCACTAGTTTGATCTGCATCCACATACTGCATATTGTAAACACTGCGAACTGAGAGATAGCTGTCCATCCCTTTAAATATTCCGGGAATTTGCTGGGCATCTAGTTTAGGACGTAGACGCGCGTACACTTGGGTGTCCAACAGCGGAGCCTAGTTGATCTGTAGTCACTACTTTGATGTAATGCATTGGTTAATTCGAGAGAACCAGGGATTTTTAGACGGAATTTCGCTCTACCAATAACCACTCAGCTTCGAAACGCGATGAAATACGTCCATCCTCGAGGTTGTACATGACTATGAACGTTCTGTCTTTTTTGTTCCAGAGCAGCGAGATCACACATGCGAATACTGTGGAAACTCTTTTTCCGTAAAGTCCCACCTTCGGACGCACGTAGACGTTGTTCACCTGAGTAAGTTCTACACCCTCCGTTTGTCATTTCTTCCAATAACGCACCGAGAGTCTTCGAACTTTGATCCAGTGTTGTCTGTAGTTAACCGATACTTTTTGTTTGGTGTTTATTCCATGGGTTTATTGTGTTTGGCGAAAAGCACAGGTCACAGTGGTGGTCCGCCGTTTGCGGTTGCTAGTTTCGTTTCGCAGCCACAGCGAATGAGTTGTGGGAGTCAATTGACTGTACTGTGTCGATGACGAGACGAGGCTTTGTATGATGCAGTTATCTATGGTTTCTGTCAGGGTCAAATGGCAGTGCGGGTTGTTGAATCGCTGCTGTGCTTCTCGTGCTTCGCAAATCTGGCTGGCACATTATGTCAATTTGCACATATGTCAACTTGCATTTGGATTGCGAATGGTATTTCATTGTATACATCATCAGATAGCAAACTCGCTGGTCTAGCTTCATTTAATCTTTATTATGTTTAACAGGCTCTTACTACACCATAAACATGACGCCGAGAACGCTCATTGCTTACACGGTGTTTCTGCCGGATGTAATCTAAACTGCGAAAGCACCGTTGGTCGAATACAACCGGGCTCTTCATGGGCCAGGTTTCAGTACGGTACAGTATAGTTGAATTGTACACTGTATCTTTTAGCAGTAAGTGATGTCACAGCTACGCTACATGTGGCGAGGATTGGCGGCAGCGTCTCTAGCTTTTGCTACACGACTTGTGATCTCATCTGCCTTTCCATCTGCTTTGAGACCACTGACCATGTTGTTGCATCTCTGAACAGTTTCAGGCTTATCTGCACCAAGCGTTGGTGCAGGGGGTGGTCACTGCCAATGTTGGAGAACTGGTTTCCATTTGTCAAGGGTTGAGTAGAGATGCACTAGACGACGGACAGCCAATGTTAATTTGTCCCGTGCCACTTGACACGTTAGTAAGCTGTTGTTACGAAGCATATCTCGTCTGCATATTGCGAATCAATGAATCGCTCAGTTGGGTTCAGCATTCCATCTAATCTGCGTCTGGTGAACGCAGTTTCCATAACTTTGTCAGTAAAGAAGTTAATAAGCAAAGGTGACAGTAGGCGTCCCTATTTCACACTGCCGTATTCATAGGAGGGCGGCGACAGCTTGCTATAAGCCCTCACTCTGCTTACCCTACGCGCGTACATGGCGTAGAAACGTGTTTGCTTGCTTTGGTTACCAAAACATCAGTTACATCCGGACAACAGTTTAATCTCCGCAACTTGTCCAACTTGATCGTATGATTGAAATTCTCAGTGGACCAGGCTGTTTAGCACTTTAGTCGGGAGCACTTCGCTTCTGTCGTCGCCTTTCTTCTTTTATTCTTGTTAACATAGCTTTATTTACTGTTGCAAAAACCAGCCCCACAGATGCGAGCATTGTGACAGATGCTTCTCTCATAGGTGTGTATTAAGAAGACACATTGAAGCAGTGCATCTAAGTGAGTATTTGTTTCAGATGTTTTCCACTGTTCCCAGTGTGCCCATAATTATCCTAATGAGCTTCATCAACATGTTCCCGTCTGACGCTCGATTTCACATGATGCTACGCGTTGTATGTGAAGTGGTTTATGGTCATGTTTGCATCCACATTGGCTTCCGTTCTTCCTCGAGTTAGCGACTTCAGATCACTAAACTGTTCACTGAGGAAAGGTGTCAGGGCGCTTCACACTTACGATGACATCTTACCTGATTCCCAGGCGTTTAAAACCCGATTGCCACCTCTGTGAGCGCATGTTCGCGTGTACAGCCAACTCTAGTTGACTGTTTTGAATAGTGTCGATCCTCAGCCTTGATCGATGTGGAATTTCCTGCACATTAGTGGTTCCATAGTCCGCTGATTTTCATGTTTTGGACACATTCGACCGCCTGGTTTGTCATCCAGAGCCATCACAAGTACTGTCACTGTTTGTGCTATAGTTAACGTTCGCGTGAGGTCATTTGGCGTATCTCAGCATATCTCTTCCGAGCGTTTTCGTTGGAACACTTACTTGACTTCGGATCATGCGCTTTGGAGACACCCGACAGCGTCGCCGGAAACCGTTTGGCACGGCCAAGCTCACCACCCCAAATGTTCTAGATGCGTGTCAGAACACAACCTCAAATCTGCGTTCTCTGTTCTCCCATGTTGAGACGCACTAGGCACAGATCCAGAGTGCCTTACGAAAGTAGGCTACCCTGGTCTGTGGCTTCACCAGACGAGCTGCTAGGCATTGAATTTCCGCACAGTCTCTCCAATTAATAGAAAGCCGTCGAACAATTCCCGCTGGAGTTGAGTACAACGTACTACACAGAACCACAGGTGCTGAGCTCAGACAGCTCTACAGGAAGGATTGTGTGGTTTCGTGGACACAGCGTATAGTTGAGATAAAGCGGGCAGACTCTTCCAACTTACTCTTTCCGCGGGAGGCAGAAAGTCAACAGTGAGTGAGGTTTTGCGTGAAAATGGCGGTGAACTAATTCACAGTCGTCACCGTGGTCTGGTACGATGGGCAGAACACTTAGAACATCAGTTCACCTGGCCACCAGCACCATCGAGTCCACCTTCCGGGGTGCACAGTGCTCCCTGGTGCGTGGATTTTTCTCCACCGACTTAGACTAAGGTTTCCTATTAGCTTCGCCTAACAAAGCGCCATAACTCACCTGGCCCTAATGAACTTTCTCCCGTTCTCTTCAACTATGAGGTTCCTACTCTCCCTCGTGTACGGACATCTTTGTTCCATCAGATTTGGACTGCTGAAACCATCCCACCCGACTGGAATTTAGCGCTTGTTGTACCTGTTTACAAAAAATGAGATCGAACCATTTGCTCCAATCTTCGTGGCATCAGTCTCATTTGTGTCGCATCCAGACTGTTCTCAGCCCTACGCTTGCGGAGGCTCAGTTGCGTATGGAAACAGCACCTGCGTGAACAACAGATTGAATTTCGCCCTGGTCGCAGTTGCGTCGACCACAGCTATACAATCCTTCAGAAACTGGAACATCGCCTGTCCACTAACCATAGTCATATTCTTGGACATTCGAGTCGCATTTGACTCTGTTGACAGAGTGGCTCTTTGGGACTGCTTACTGAAGAGAGGAGTACCTGAGAACTACACAAACATTCTCCATGCCATTTACCATATACCTTGGGGCCGCGTGCAAGTGTATGGAGACATTTCGCCCCCTATCAGTATTACTAGCTGTGTTAAACAGGGTTTCTCAGCCTCTCCATTCTTGTTTATCTTCGCCATGGACGAGATCCTGGATACTGGCCTGGAAAACTCATTCCTGCGGCATTAAACTTCTCCCTGGTGAACGCCTTCGGGGCTTAGAATACGCCGATGACATCGCTGTGATTTGCGAGTCCTGCCAAACCGCCCAGCATATGCTGCTTAGACTGAGATGTCTGCTTCCCATTTGAGTTGACCAAATGCAAGGTCCTGTTACAGGACTGTCTCAGTGCATGTTCTTCTCTCATTGTTTCGGTGTATCCGCTGGAAGTGGTCGACAAATTTCATATACCTTGGGAGTTGTCCTAGTATTGCCATTTGATGGATGAGATCTCTCTGCGTATCTCTAAGGCTAGAGTAACTTTCGCTTACTTTGGTCGCCTGTGGCTTCGTCGTGACCTCAGTCTCTCTTTCAAAGGACGAATTTACAATGCTACCGTACGAGCGATTCTGCTTTATGACTGTGAGACTTGGCCCATTCGCAAAAGCGATGTTCAACGGCTATCTATCTTCCATCTCCGTTTACTTCGAAGCATTGCTGTGTTGATGGCAGCATCACGTCAGTAATAAAGAGCTCTGTCTGCGAGTCTTCAGATCTAATGAACTCCTCCAAGGGTTTGATAGCATACTTACACTGCGGAGTTTTCGCTGGCTTTTGCATGGGCTCCGCATGTCCAAACAGTGGCTACCACGACGTGCCATGTTTGCGAGCGCAGGCGTGAGGTCTAAACGACGACACGGTTATTGTAAAACTGGGATACGATGCGTTAAGTCGCAGACGTTGAAGCTGGCTGTTGTTGGGCGTTCCCGACTTCCGGGTTGGGGACCAAAGGACCCCGAGCACATGTGCTTGCAAACGCAAAAGGATATGGCCAAGGACCGTATGCATTCTTACATTTGTTATGAGACTCTTTTACCCTAACATCATTTGTATTTTTTATGTGTTGTGGCACGCATCCAATTATAAGCTGCACGGTAAATTGTTGAATATATATATATATATATATATATATATATATATATATATATATATATGTATAGTTGGCGGCATCCGGTTTCGGATTTGCCTGTCACTGTGGCAAGCCACAGGACGCCTGCGCCTACAGAGGGACCATGGATGGCTTGCGCTGCACCAGCCACAGCTCCAACCACATACCCCATATCCATTGTAAACCCGAAGGAATAAGACCGAGAGGCATGCGGATGGGAAGCACGTTTCATCAACGGAGCCGGCCCACACTCCTTCACAGGCAAACACAAGCACGCTGTATTTGGGAATCAAGCGCACACAAGGCGGTGGCTGGACCGTAGTCCGTTCCATACTGGCTGCATGGAACCACTCTTTGATCCTAACACGGCCACAAGGACCGTGCACCCTGTCCCCTCCAGCAACGACCAACTGTCTCCTGGAGCCAGTATGGACGAGGTAGTGGGTAATAGACAGGTAGGCACCTTGACAACATGAACATCAAGCGCATCCACACCGGGGATATCAAACAACAGCCAAACACTTGAAAGAGAGAAAGAAAAAGAGAAAAACTCGATTAATGCATAAGGAAACGGTGATATAAACCTTAATTAAATAGCATATGTAATAAGTTGATTACAGACAAATCCTAGCTAAGTGCACGAAGTCTGGAAGTATAGTTCACGGAATGCCACGAACGCAAAAATGTTATGGAAATCGAATACAATTGGCTTAGGCGATGTGTGCAAGTTAATGAAATAGAGTACAGGGAGATATTTATATGAGAAAGAAAGGCATTAGGAG